ATCATGTCAATGTAACATATTAGGAAAGAGGTGGCAATGAGTTGGAGGGCATAGGCTTGACCGTGAATGCTTTTAGTGAACTTTCTAACTCTACACACAAGTCTTTATTTATTTTGTTCACATATTTGCTAGGATCTGACTGCTCTTTAATGTGTGTTTTGTACCATTGAATTTGAATTGTTTTGGTCATCTTTAGGGTTCTTACACTGATATGTCCTAGTTCATCTCAAGAACGTTTCTTGATTTCTTTTTTTTTTCTTTTTAATTTATTTGATTTTTTTTTTTTAATTATACTTGGCTCATCATTGTTTTCATTGAAGAGTGAAGAGCCCAGTGAAATGAATTGCTCTTGACCTAAAAGTATTTTGTCTTTTGCCTAGACCTTTCTAGTACTTCTAGGTGGGTTGAATGCTTCTGCTTAATTTTCAGATAATGCAGCATTCTCTGTATTCCAGTAATAAGTATTACAGCCGCTTTGATATTTTTTTTCTGAAGTTTTACTCTTCAAATGTATTACATTTTTTTAAATATTTTGGAGGCACTGGAGATTTCTAGAATCAGTTCATAAAAATTCAAAAAGTACATTACATTCCCTTTGATTTTAGGGAGTTTTGAAGTGTGATTCTCTTTTACATGCAACGCGTATTTATTTCTCATGTCTAGTCAATACTTTAGTGCTGATCTCTGAATAAGCGTGAAAGCCTATTATGCCTATTTTATAATTGCAGAATTCTCTTCTAGGGAGTAACTGTTTTTCAGTTTGTTGTTTACTACATGTATGTGTCAAAATGAATTTAACTTTATTGTTTTCTATTTTAAATCATAACCTTTTAAAGAAAAATTAATAATTAAAACACATTTAAAGCTACATATATTTGGAATATGAGCTTGAACTGATGCTGAGATCACTTTGTCTAAGTAAAACTACATTTTAGTAGTTTATGTATTTTCACAAATCCACTGTAATGCCTGTTTTTAAAACATGAGGAACTTACAGAAACTCATACTGAAGTAAAAAGTACTTCTGCAACACTTAGCACTTTTGTAACTCTACATACTTATTTCAGCCTCTCATTATGGACTTAAATTGTAAATTCAGGCTCCTATTTTTCTATCTTCATTCATTTTTATTATCTCTGTGATCAGCTCAGTGTTACATGTGTGTGAGTTTACAAATGTGTTATTTTACCATCTTTCTGAAAGGATTAATAAAGCCAAACATCTACAAAACCAAGTATTCAGTACATCACATGATGAGTTAGCTAAGGAATTGGTCTTCCAATAATAATAATAATAATAATAGCATTCAGCTACTGTTGGTCATAACTTAATGCATTGGACAAACAAGAATTAAAGTGGAAGCTCAGTGAATGCTAATTGGTACTTTCATGTATTTTGACAATAGTTTTGACACTTTGTCAGAGCTAAATTCATATGAATTAAAGTATGTCTCATTAAGTGACCCATTCTGAATATACCTTTTTTGAAACATTTTGTCAAATGCTTTACTAAAAAAGAATTATCCTGTCATGCTAAAATAAACCCAAGAAATTGCAAAGTATAGAATACCTACAGGAACAATTCCAAGGGGAAATAATGAGAAAAACTTTTTTATTGCCTAAGAAATATATTTCAGTATCTCATTTATCTTACTTACCTATCATTACCCAGTTAGTAAATGTGTGATGATGGATAAGCCTGCAATAAACTGAAATATCCTTTAAAGCAAATTAAGGATATTGCACTTTTAGTGAATTTTTCTGAATCTTTCCAACTTTTCTCATTGACTAGAAGTATATGCTCATTTGTGGTTTGTTTTTTTAAAGCAATGTAGTCTATAACAATATCATTTTAAACTTAGGCATACTATGATAGTTTTGAGAAAACTATAAATAATGTCAGCTGTCTCTTTGGATTCTACTGCCCCTTTATAGTATGTTTGTTTCCCCTTCTTAAAATCCCTCTCAACGTGTCATTCGTGTTCTCCTGATGACCTTGCACACTATGATATTCAGACTGTTTCAGTCTTGGCTTTAAGTATGGTAGCCTTTCTCTGACATACATACACAGTAAAAGAAAATCTTGGCTTATATGTGTGCCGACAGTTATCACCATCACTAGCTATCTCAGCTGAATAAGTCTTACGAGGTTACAGAGAGTCAAAGGATGAAAGTGATGCACAAGATAATGGGGAGAAGGCTGAAGTATTCAGAGTGAATTTAATGGCACAGCAGTGTCATATTGTCCATGGTAGCATCATTAATAGCAGCAAAGAACCCCAACAGTTTAAATTAATCTTCATGAATCAAAACAAATGATATGAGCAAATGAAAGTTCAGTCGTGTCTCAACAGCTTTTAGGTTATAGCCTGTGTCGCTAAATTCAGTTTCACAAACAGCAGATTAAGTTGGTGCTTATGCTTTTGTATCTTGTCTAGCCAGTAATAGGAATGAAACATTCTCCTGCTTTTAACTAAGATTGAAAAGAATCCTTGCCCTCGAGAAATTCAAGACCAAATAATGAACTAGCCACCATTCTAGGCTGTAAAACTTATTTTGCAAGAAGCATAAAGGTCCCTTTTGAGGATCAACAGTAATGGGCCAGAACCTGCATTATTTAATTATTTTCTTTTCAAAACAGCCATCAAAGTAAAAAAGATTTCCCTGTAAATAAGGATTAAGTAAAGACCTGCACTGCTTGCTCTATGTGAGCATTTTTAAATGTATATTTCTTTATGAACCGACTTTATAATTACTCAGTTTTGGTTGTTTCTAAACTTGTGTTCTTGCTTACTCTTAGAAATAATTCACAAGCAAAACCCAAATAAAATATTGAATGGACCTTA